TGGATATCAGATAACTATGCTATTATACATGATTAACAATATCCATCCTAATATGTTTTATTTCAATGTCTTTGTAGAATATGCTGCACTTGATTTTTGCAATGGAGTTAAGAGGTGCAAATTTAAATACTTATATAGAGTCTAATGAACCTTTCGCATTCTCACATTAATGTCATGTCATCATACGCCTAGGCGGAAAACTTCAAGATATCAACCATCTTGTCAGCCAAAAAGAAATCAAGAAAGGAAACTTAACTGTAATATACACTGTATAGCTATACATGTAGGTCTGATTTAGTCATTCAACACATCACTCAATGCTTGAAAGAGTACAGTACCGATATTCCGATACATTTACAGTACAACCTGGCTCCGCCCTCACTAACGGCCGTGCCGTAAAACATATTACAGTGTATAGCTATACATGTAGGTATGATTTAGTAATTCAACACATCACTCAATGCTTGAAAGAGTACTACAGTAGTACAGTACCGATTCCGATACATTTACAGTACAACCTGGCTCCGCCCTCACTAACGGCCGTGCCGTAAAACATATTATTTCCATAGATCTCACTACTATTGCATTTGAAAAATGTGGCATGTAACGTTATCGTAATGGCATAAATATATTTACCCTGTGATGATAAATTCTGGACCGTGTTCACGTAATTTTCTAGTGCACCCGCCATTGCTGTTGGTGTCGCTTAAATAAATGAAAAGAAATCTAAAGACGATCTTTAGAGACCATACACTAGTTTCAATGAAAGCAAACTATAAATTATTTTGAATCAATGACAATGAATTATTAACCGTCATGACTTCTGGAGAAAACTACGAAAATACGAATATTGGTATTTTTAACAACGTAGACGACTACAGTCAGAAAACGAAAGAAGAATTCTGGCGATTTGTGTACTCTGATTGGTTGGTAAGCATTGATGACAACCTTAGATTTAAGCAATGTATTAAATCTTGTCTCTTCAGAGCGAAACAACAAAATGGCACAAATTTACTAAAAGTTTATCTAAACCCCTAAAACCTGAAATATTACTTATAATCAGGGTTGTGTAGTGGAGGGAATTTGCAACTCCGAGTCCAGTGGCGAACACTTATCGTCGCTTTTGTGTTTGTTCACTGGACCGTGAAGTCATCGAGGGCTTATTACTCTGGGCGGTCTGCGCTAGTGTCAGGTTATACTCGCACTTGCTTCCGGTGTCATGTCAACACATCGCTGATCGAAGTGTTTTGATTGCGGTTATCCAAGTTTACTGGGCTGTGTATTAGTAGGTCTTCATTTTATTACAGGAGAAATGTTATCGTTGCCACCATGTCTATCTGTACAGTAGTTGTGTCGGGAGATATTATCGTCTGTATCTTGAGTTTGTGCTATATTTTGGTTTGGACTCTTGAGGGAGTCTGTTAATTCATAGCATTTCACGATCGGATCCTTCAGCGCTTTTAAAATTGTCTCATCATGTCCACGTCTGATTTTCTGTCTTGGGATGATGACATAGATTTAGAACACTTGCTTGGAGAGTTTACAGAGTATAGTGAGTCGGACATTTCAGACGATGATTTTGACAGGGATGTGTAGTGGACTAGTACTCAATATATTAAATCTTACACCCCTGTAATCGCGCAGATTCGGCAGTCAAATAAGTCGGCATACAGTTCAGAGTATCATTAAATAAAAATTACAAAAATAAAATTGCTTGTTAATTAATATATTACGTGCCATTTTCATTACTGACCCTTTCCCACAAGTGTCCCGGATTGGGTACCGTCCCAGATTGGGTACCGCCACAGTACTGTAGTGGTCAGTTTCCAGACCAATTAAAACAAAAACACTGACATACCACAAATAACAGTCCTTCAAAAATTATTCATATTTTTAATTTATTGATATCCCACATTTGAAAAATGGTGGAATATAGGCCTATTGTAAGAAAATTTGATCTAAGCAGCGAGATGCAAACATGGCTTTACTGAAAAAGACAAATGCAAAGTGATATTACAGTAGCTCTTTTCGAAACAAAAATAACACAAATTGATAATAACTCACCGCCGTAAGACTACTTCCTTACAAAATAAAATTGATTAAACTTTACATTGCCGTGAATTTTGAAAAGCTTGATTAAATACTTTGGAAGAAAATGGAAACATAAAATGGGTGGTAATGAGATTTTTTCCACCCAAAATTTTCAAATGTTTACAAAAAAGTTTTATTGATATCCGTTGTTTGAAAAATGGTGGAATTTATTGGAAGAAAATTTGATCTAAACAGCAAGATGACAACATGGTTTCACTGAAAATGACGCCATTTCCGATGCAAAGTGATACAAACATTGGCTCATTTTGAAACAAAAATAACACAAATTAATTAATAATAACTCGCCGCCATAAAATTATACCCATACAAAATTTAATTAATTAAGCTTTCCATGGATATACTTCATTCTAATGTAAACCGTTCCGTTGGGGAGGAATTGGAAACACAACTTTGTTGGGTTAGCAAAACAAAATCTCAAATCTCAAAAAACAACATCCGGTTGACGTTGAACACAGTCACAGAAAATGAAAAAATATGGCAATAAATCAATACCTAGGGTCCTGTGACACCACAGTGTATACTGTTGTCTACTACTTCCACCAACAACCTACAACAACAAAATAAACAAAAAATGTAGTAATACTCTGTATTATTGGTTTGTTTACACACCAATTTCACGCTTCAACCACGTTCTGATGAAGCCATAACTTGTCCGCTAGGGGGCGCGTATCATAGGACACCGATCAAGGGAGATAAGCCAACCTCACTTGTAACATATTTACTAAGGCAAACAGGAAGTTGCGTATCCCTCCACATATACATCCCTGTTATAATGTACACCTCAGTTTAGGTCCAAATATCTATAGCTGTAACCAATTATCAGGTCCCTGTATTAACAGGTGTTGTGAGGGTCCCAAACTGAGGCTCTGTATTCTAGTTTGGGACATGCAATGCAGTGCCCGAAAAAAAAAAAATGTAAAACGTAAAGAAAAACAAAGAAGGACCAATAATTTATTATTTCTATTCCTCAATAAGTCCTTCCCTTCACATTGCTCTAAAGACGCCTGCTTCAGAGCTGTATTCCTCGTCGTCAGAATAGTCAGTCTTCACATGATCCCAATTTGATATGGCTCGATGTCTTCAGTCAGTATTGGCTATGATTGATTGACACTCTGTAAAATTGCACAGACAATCAAGGATTGAAGACAAAATATTACTTACTTGGAATACTTTGACGGTACTCCTATAACATGACAGGCCGCTGGTCGGCCTTTTTTTCTATCGGATATGATTTTGCCGACTGCGACCTCTCATTTCCGAAGCACTAATTCTTTGATGCAGTTTCTGCCCGAAATCCAGGCGGAACTAAATCGGCTTGAAAAACTCAATTAAGTGGTTCACAGTTCATGACAACGATGTCTACTCACGGTTCCTGTAATATATATCCCATATGTATACCACAGACACAAATATATAATATATTAAGGAATAGAACACTCAAAATACATGTCCATGTCTGACCTACTTCTAAAACATGGCTCCTGGGTTAGTACAAAATAGCAGGGGGAATTTCAAACGGAACGAAACGATATGGAGTTTGTTTGTATTCCGCTTGTTAAACATCACATTTATTCCATTCTTGTATTAACCGGGAAATCATGCCAAATGTTGTCTGCTTCACTTTTAAAATTACGATAATATGAATTTTAGCAGGAGTGTAGGGCAGTCGCCCAGACGTTTTATTTTGGGCCAGTAATTAGTTGTCTTTGGACAACTTCTGGTCGCCCTGACACGAAAGTGGTCGCCTCAGGCGAGTGGGCGACCGGCCATTTCAGGCACTGCAATGTATCAGGCTTTGATAACCTGAGTAGTTACTTTGTGGTGAATTTTGGTTAGAGTTATCTCCCTTAGACCGATAACCGCGCCGACAACCTGAATGTGACATCTCGGCGCGGTCTCTTACATCCTGACATTGAACATGCAACACGTGAGTGATATTCTGCCACCTTGTTACTTGATTTCAGGAGCTGTTGACTAGTCTGTTGTGTACTGTTGGCTAGTCTGTCGTGTACTGTTGACTAGTCTGTCGTGTACTGTTGACTAGTCTGTCGTGTACTGTTGACTAGTCTGTTGTGTCCTGTTGACTAGTCTGTTGGGTACTGTTGACTAGTCTGTAATGTACCATTGACTTATTATAATAAGTCTGTTGTGTACTGTTGACTAGTCTGTTGTGTACTGTTGACTAGGCTGTTGTGTACTGTTGACTAGTCTGTAATGTACCGTTGACTTATTATAATAAGTCTGTCGTGTACTGTTGACTAGTCTGTTGTGTACTGTTGACTAATCTGTTGTGTACCGTTGACTATAGTCTTTAATGTACCGTTGACTAGTCTGTAATGTACTGTTGACTAGTCTGTTGTGTACTGTTGACTAGTCTGTTGTGTACTGTTGACTAGTCTGCTGTGTACTGTTGACTAGTCTGTTGGGTACTGTTGACTATAGTCTGTAATGTACCGTTGACTATAGTCTGTAATTAAACGTTGACTAGTCTGTTGTGTACTGTTGACTATAGTCTGTCGTGTACTGTTGACTAGTCTGTTGTGTACTGTTGACTATAGTTGTGTACCGTTGACTATAGTCTGTAATTAAACGCTGACTAGTCTGTTGTGTACTGTTGACTATACTCTGTAATGTACCGTTGACTAGTCTGTTGGGTACTGTTGACTAGTCTGTTGTGTACTGTTAACTAGTCTGTTGTGTACTGTTGACTATAGTCTGTCGTGTACTGTTGACCAGTCTGTTGTGTACTGTTAACTAGTCTGTTGTGTACTGTTGACTATAGTCTGTAATGTACCGTTGACTAGTCTGTTGGGTACTGTTGACTAGTCTGTCGTGTACTGTTGACTAGTCTGTTGTGTACTGTTGACTATAGTCTGTAATGAACCGTTGACTAAAGTCTGTAATGTACTGTTGACTAGTCTGTTGGGTACTGTTGACTAGTCTGTAATGTACTGTTGACTAGTCTGTTGTGTACTGTTGACTAGTCTTTTGTGTACTGTTGACTAGTCTGTAATGTACCGTTGACTATAGTCTGTAATGAACCGTTTACTAGTCTGTAATGTACCGTTGACTAGTCTGTTGTGTACAGTTGACTAGTCTGTTGGGTACTGTTGACTAGTCTGTAATGTACTGTTGAATAGTCTGTTGTGTACTGTTGACTAGTCTTTTGTGTACTGTTGACTAGTCTGTAATGTACCGTTGACTAGTCTGTAATGTACTGTTGACTAGTCTGCTGTTTACTGTTGACTAGTCTGTTGTGTACTGTTGACTAATCTGTTGTGTACTGTTGACTAGTCTGTTGGGTATTGTTGACTAGTCTGTAATGTACTGTTGACTTGTCTGTTGGGTACTGTTGACTAGTCTTTTGTGTACTATTGACTAGTCTGTAATGTACCGTTGACTATAGTCTGTAATGAACCGTTGACTAGGTCTGTTGTGTACTGTTGACTAGTCTGTTGGGTATTGTTGACTAGTCTGTGATGTACTGTTGACTTGTCTGTTGGGTACTGTTGACTACTCTTTTGTGTACTATTGACTAGTCTGTAATGTTCCGTTGACTATAGTCTGTAATGAACCGTTGACTAGGTCTGTTGTGTACTGTTGACTAGTCTGTTGGGTATTGTTGACTAGTCTGTGATGTACTGTTGACTTGTCTGTTGGGTACTGTTGACTACTCTTTTGTGTACTATTGACTAGTCTGTAATGTTCCGTTGACTATAGTCTGTAATGAACCGTTGACTATTGTCTGTAATGTACTGTTGACTAGTCTGTTGTGTAGTGTTGACTAGTCTGTTGTGTACTGTTGACTATAGTCTGTAATGAACCGTTTACTAGTCTGTAATGTACCGTTGACTAGTCTGTTGTGTACTGTTGACTAGTCTGCTGTGTACCGTTGACTAGTCTGTTGTGTACTGTTGACTAGTATGCTGTTGACTAGTCTGTCGTGTACCGTTGAATAGTCTGTCGTGTACCGTTGACTATAGTCTGTAATGAACCGTTGACTATATTCTGTAATGTACTGTTGACTAGTCTGTTGTGTAGTGTTGACTAGTCTGTTGTGTACTGTTGACTATAGTCTGTTGTGTACTGTTGACTAGTCTGTTGTGTACCGTTGACTATAGTCTGTAATGTACCATTGACTAGTCTGTTGGGTACTGTTGACTAGTCTGTAATGTACTGTTGACTTGTCTGTTGGGTACTGTTGACTTGTCTTTTGTGTACTATTGACTAGTCTGTAATGTTCCGTTGACTATAGTCTGTAATGAACCGTTGACTAGGTCTGTTGTGTACTGTTGACTAGTCTGTTGGGTATTGTTTACTAGTCTGTAATGTACTGTTGACTTGTCTGTGGGGTACTGTTGACTAGTCTTTTGTGTACTATTGACTAGTCTGTATTGTACCGTTGACTATAGTCTGTAATGAACCGTTGACTAGGTCTGTTGTGTACTGTTGACTAGTCTGTTGGGTATTGTTTACTAGTCTGTAATGTACTGTTGACTTGTCTGTTGGGTACTGTTGACTACTCTTTTGTGTACTATTGACTAGTCTGTAATGTTCCGTTGACTATAGTCTGTAATGAACCGTTGACTATATTCTGTAATGTACTGTTGACTAGTCTGTTGTGTAGTGTTGACTAGTCTGTTGTGTACTGTTGACTAATCTGTTGTGTACTGTTGACTAGTCTGTTGGGTACCATTGACTAGTCTGTTGTGTGCTGTTGACTAGTCTGTTGGGTACCATTGACTAGTCTGTTGTGTACTGTTGACTAGTCTGTTGGGTACCATTGACTAGTCTGTTGTGTACTGTTGACTAGTCTGTTGGGTACCATTGACTAGTCTGTTGTGTACTGTTGACTAGTCTGCTGTTGACTAGTCTGTCGTGTACCGTTGAATAGTCTGTCGTGTACCGTTGACTATAGTCTGTAATGAACCGTTGACTAGGTCTGTTGTGTACTGTTGACTAGTCTGTTGGGTACCATTGACTAGTCTGTTGTGTACTGTTGACTAGTCTGTTGTGTACTGTTGACTAGTTTGTTGTGTACTGTTGGTTAGTCTGTTGGGTACTGTTGACTAGTCTGTTGTGTACTGTTGACTAATCTGTAATGTACCGTTGACTAGTCTGTAATGTACTGTTGACTAGTCTGTCGTGTACCGTTGACTAGTCTGTAATGTACTGTTGACTATAGTCTGTTGTGTACTGTTGACTAGTCTGTAACGTACTGTTGACTAGTCTGTCGTGTACTGTTGACTAGTCTGTAATGTACTGTTGACTAGTCTGTTGTGTACTGTTGACTAGTCTGTAACGTACTATTGACTAGTCTGTCGTGTACTGTTGACTAGTCTGTATATGTACTGTTTACTAGTCTGCTGTTTACTGTTGACTAGTCTGTTGTGTACTGTTGACTAGTCTGTTGTGTACCGTTGACTAGTCTGTAATGTACTGTTGACTATAGTCTGTCGTGTACCGTTGACTAGTCTGTAATGTACTGTGACTTATTATAATAAGTCTGTAATGTAACATTGACTATAGTCTGTAATGAACCGTTGACTAGTCTGTTGTGTACTGTTGACAAGTCTGTAATGTACCATTGACTATAGTCTGTAATGACCATCCATCGTTCGTGTCAACTTTTCCTTTTAAAAACTACTAGTCCTGAACAACCCAGTATACTTAACTTGGTCTGGAGCACCCCTAGGCTAAGGGCATTAAATTTTGTATAAACGGTGGGTGTGGCCTTCCTGGGGGCAGAGGGGCAGGCCCAATAGGGGAAATAGGGGAAATAGGGGTAAAACCTTTAAATTCCTTTTTCTACCATTAGAATAAAGGCATTTTATTCGGATTTAATCTGGAGCATCTTTGTGCCAAGAGGACTCAATTTTGATTAATTGTAGGTGTGCCCTACTTCTACTGAACGATTGGAGGGATTTTATGTAATAAGAACAATTTCCCATGGTTGCTTTATTATCCAAGTGAGCGATACAGTCCATCTGGGCCTCTTGTTTATTGGAGGGACCTGAGGGGCGGGGCCCAATAGGGAACACATAGTAAATTCTTTAAAATCCTTCTTCTTCTGCAGGAATGAAAGGATTTGTTCCATATTTAGTCTGAAGCATCCTTGGGGGAAGGGAAATCACTTTTGTTTAAACTGGGGGTCTTGCCCCGGAGGGACCTGAGGGGCGGGGCCCAATAGGGAACACATAGTAAATTCTTAAAAATCCTTCTTCTTCTGTAGGAATGAAAGGATTTGTTCTATATTTGGTCTGAAGCATCTTTGGGGAAAGGGGAACCAATTTTGTATAAACTGTGGGTCTGACCCCGGAGGGGCCTGAGGGGCAGGGCCCAATAGGGAACACATAGTAAATTCTTTAAAATCCTTCTTCTACTGTAGGAATGAAAGGATTTGTTCCATATTTGGTCTGAAGCATCCTTAGGTGAAGGGGAACCAATTTTGTTTAAACCGTGGGTCTGGCCCTGCAGGGGCCTGAGGTGCAGGGCCAAAAGGGGGCAATTGGGCTATATTGATTTAAGCGACTTCTTCTCTGGAACTAAGAGATGGATATCAACCATATTTGGTCTGAAGCATCCCTTGGTAGTGGAGGTTCAAAATTGTACAAATGGTTGGGCTGACCCCCCAGGGGCTGAGGGGCAGGGCCAAAGGTGGGCAATATGGCTATATTGCTACATATGGTTGAGATCCCGACGGTATAACCATATATACAATTGTGGAATATAAAGAGAAGCATGCACATTTGCTTCCAGGAAGGTCTAGGGTCTGACCCCACCCTTTGAGACTTAGTCCCTGGGTTATAACTTTGAAACGGTTGAGATCCCCACCCCAAAACTATATATACAAATGCTTGGCATAAAGAGACAAAAGTAATCATGGTATTAGAATAGACCTTGGGGACTGACTGAACCCCTAGGGACCTAGTTTCTTAGTCACAGCTTGGAAACAGTTGAGATCCCCACCCTATAACCATGCACATATACAATTACTGAGTATAAAGAGATGTATACACATACACATAGAATTGACCCCAGGGTCTGCCCCACCCTTGCAGACTTAACCCCTGGGTCATAACATTGAAACGGTTGAGATCCCCACCCCAAAACTATAAATACAAATGCTGGACAAAAAGAGAAGAATGCAGTCATGATATTAGAATTGATCCTGGGGTCTGGCCACAACCCTAGGGATCTAGTTTCTGAGTCACAGCTTGGAAACCGTTGATATCCCCACCCCATAACCATACATTAAATTGCTGAGCATGAAAAATCAAATACAGACATACTACAAGAATTGGCATTGGGCTCTGGCATATTCCCTTGGATCTCATTTGGAGAATATTTTGCCATGATTGCTTAGATATCCAGGTGAGCGATACAGGCCCTCTGGGCCTCTTGTTTGTGTTTCCATATGAATTGCACATTTTTCTAATCGTACATATAATACACAATGCAGTCAAACATCTATGGTGTGTAATTACGTTTTCTTTTTTCACAGCTATTTCCCCGAGATGGCTGGCAGACATGTTATATCCAAACTAATGGAGAGACGATTACGAGTACTTGTAGACATGGACCAAACCATTGCTGACTTTGAGGGGTATTTTCTGACAATGTACACAAAAACATTCCCTGAAGAACCGTATATAAACTTGGAAGATCGACGCACATTTTATTTGGGAGACCAGTACGAAAAACTGAAGAACGGATTAAAGGTACCGTAATTCATACTCGTAAAACATGCAACACGTTCAAATAAAATCTAGACACTGTGGTGGATGGCACTCAACCATGGCGTTCGGACGTAGCTAGTATGATCCTGAGAGATGTGGCCACCACCAGCTCCGAAGTTGGAATACGTCCGTCGCGGTCAGTCTCTGGAGACCTACTTCATTTTGGCCGGAAGTCTCTCGGTTCATGTAACTGTGGGATAGGTGTTTCCAAGAATGTCCTGTACCGCCAGGTATCACAATTGGAATTATTTGAAAGTTTTAATCTAGAAATTTGCACAGAATTCTTTATAAAAGCTAGAAGTGTTGATCTTAAGACAGCTCACTAGCATCATGATAGGTATATGTAACGTGAAATTGTCTTTGATTTTTAGCTCACCTGCCTGAAGGGCAAGTGAGCTTATGACATGGCGCAGCATCCATCGTCCTTCCGTCCGTCCGTCAACTTTTCCTTTAAAACGCTACTTGTCCTGAACGGCCCAGTAGATTTTGACCAAAGTTGGTCAGAAGCATCCTTGGGGGAAGTGGAACATATTTTGTATAAATGGTGGGTCTGGCCCCCCTAGGGGCTGAGGGGCGGGGCCCCAATAGGTGGAATATAGCAAATTCTTTAAAATCCTTCTTCTTCTGTAGGAATGAAAGGATTAAGTCCATATTTGGTCTGAAGCATCCTTGGGTGAAGAGGAACCAATTTTGTATAAACTGTGGGTCTGGCCCCCCAGGGGCCTTAGGGGCAGGCCCAATAGGGGAAATAGAGGTAAAACTTTAAAAATCCTTCTTCGACCATCGGGATTGATGGATTTTATCCTAATTTGGTCTTGAGGATCCTATGGCCAAGGGGACTCAATTTTGTATAGGGAGTGGGTGTGGTCTCCAAGGGGGCAGAAGGACGGGGCCCAATAGGGGAAATAGAGGTAAATCTTTAAAATCCTTCTTCTGCCATAGGGATGAAGGAATTTCTTCCCAATTTGGTCTGGAGGATCTTAGGTAAAATGGACTCAATTTTGTATACACAGTGAGTGTCCTTCTTCGACCATCAGGATTAAGGGATTTTATCCTTATTTATTCTGGAGCATCCTTGGGCCAGGGGACTTAATTTTGTATAAACAGTGGGTATGAACCCCCTAGTTTGTTCTCGCTATATCTCAAGTACTGGATGGATCTTTCTGAAGATTCATATGTACTTACCTCCCATTGAGTGCTATATCTTTACCTCATACCAATTATTTTAAACACATTCAGGTGAGTGATACAGGCCCTCTGGGCCTCTTGTTAAAAAGAACAATATAGGACTGTTGAGTGATTGTTTGTTTGTTTAAACCACTTCCTATGGATTGATTTTAGCAATTCATACACCATTTAATAAAACAAAAATAATTTGATTCTATTTTGAACAGAAAAAAGCAAAGTCCATATATGAAGCTGAAGGTTTTTTCTGTGACCTTCCTGCACTGCCAGGGGCTTGTGACGCCATAAAGATGATGGACTCCATGGAAGGGTGTGTAAAAAACGTCTATCATGAGATTTACTACAGTTTAGTATAGGACTCCATGGAAGGGTGTATACAAAACCTCTATCAAAAGATTAACTACAGTTTAGTATAGGACTCCATGGAAGGGTGTGTACAAAACTTCCATCNCCATGGAAGGGTGTGTACAAAACCTCTATCATGAGATTTACTACAGTTCAGTATAGGACTCCATGGAAGGGTATATTT